ACACTCACACTGGTGCAGTGGCTTCGTCCTTGAAGCGAGTGGGCTCTCCATTGAGCCCCCCATCCATGCATTCTTCCTGCAAGGCCATGACATCACACAAAAGGACATCCCTTTTGAGTGAAACATTAGCAAAATTAAAACCACATCGGTCTCTAATGATTCTGACATGCCTGCAATTACACCATTGCACAATTGCACACCGCAGCACTCCAGAACTATCCACTGAAACGTGAACATCTCACCTACACCGGCCTGCAGCGTACTTGGTGTGGACATCCCACACAGCTGCATTGCCTTCAGCAGTGCCAACATCCATATGAGCAAAAATCCCAAACAAGTGCTTCACACGTCCAACCACTTGCACTGCCGCAGCTTACATTTAGCACGACCACATATCATACCTGCACATGGCCAAAGCACACTTTGCACTTTGGAAACACCAAATCAGTGGGTGACTTGAAAGCATAATAAGCTTCGGAGAGCATTCTTCCGCAACCAGTCTTGTCAGAACTATGGACATTCCCATAGTGAAGCATCTTCGTCCTGGAATGCCTGTAGACACACATCGTGTCAGAACTCTCGGAAGGCAGTGCTCTGCTCTCAGCATCGTGGTGAGCCTCAATGATTGCCTGGCCAACTTCCGCCTCCTCTTCAATTTCGCTGCCCTCGCTCGTAGAAGAAGATGAGCTATCATCAGAGCTGCAGTAGGTAGCGCTAGGCATTCCACGCAGGGTCATACCTTCTTCATCCGTGAGATGAATAACCATTCCAGAAGTGGGCACTCTGTCATCACTGTGGAATGCACGCAGCCGCTCATTAGCCGAGCCAAACTCACCATCAGCAACCATTGCTGCATCCTGCATCAATACCCTGGCAGCATCTGCAACTGTGAGGCCAGTCTCATTCAAAAATGCATCAGCCAGCGTCACACGTCTGTCAGGTTCAGGAAACATTGCATCTCGTTCAGCGTCGGGGCAAAAGGCCCCTGTATTGATATTATCCAGCATTCGCACCAACTCCCGCATAGGGCCACTGACACAGTCACGTGTGTAATTCAAAGCAGACTGGTGCTCCTTGTTGACATGGTACCCCAAAAGCTCACTGGAGGCCAAACTGCCTCCCCACTTGTTGAAATACGATAATCATGGTGCTTTGAGCGAATGACTGCTCAACTGATTAACTGCATCCATATCAAACTGTCCAGACAAAAGCAGCCTCAAGCGATCTGTGACTTCCACAGAGCCAATGGGGCTCTGGCCATCGTACGCCAGTCCAGCCTGTTCCGGAACCAGTACAAATGATGTATCATAAGACTTTGACTGAAGTGTTGCGATAGATGGCAAACCCAAGCATCGCCTCGCTTCAACAAACTGCAAGAACCACGGCTTGCCAAGGAGCCCAAATGATGGCACCACCAGGGAAATGAAGGAGGTGGATTTCTCCTTCGTCCTTGCAGTCTTAGTCTTGGTGAGAGCTCCTTCAGCATACCTCCCAACAAGTCCAGCATGACGGATACGATTGGCATCTGAGCATCTCAAGCGGCCCATGCAACACAGCATGGCCAATCCAGCAAACATTCTGTCAAAGGCATCCGGAAGGGCAAAGCATGCAATCTCAACCTAGCATAGCATCATCACACTAAGCGCCGGGGCTCTCACTCTGGGAGCTCTTGCCACATACATTCCATGACTTGCCCCCTTCACTCTCGCGGATCCTGCAGCTTCTGATGCCCCTTCGAATCTATCGCAAGCTAGAAATCAGCGTGTCAACTCGGGAAGCAGACAATCCTGCATCTCGACAATGACATGCATAATCATAAACCATCTCCTCACAAACAGGAACCATAGGCATGTCAGGGTAATGCTCCAATGCCCAGCCAAAATAAAGACTCAGAGAGGCAACACAAATTTTCAATGTCGAGGTCGCCTTTGATCGAAACAAATCTGAAATTGTATTCATCACCATCTTCTCATCATCAGCACATCTCAAAAGCATCTTTCCAGCAGTTGATGACCCCGGCTCCAGCAAAAGAAGCTCAGCCCACTTCAACAAGACATTTGCCCGGTCATAATCCGGCCACTGCTGAATTGTATGATGAACCGCGTAACGAATGTTAATCTTCTTTGCAGGCACACTGAAAGTAGTAGGTTTATCGGGTACCAAAGGAACATGGCTCAGTGTGCGCAAGCTTGGTGGACGGAACAGCCAAGGTGCATGGTCGTCACCCATGACATCGCGAAGAAACTCATTGCTCTCCCATGGCATGCGCGGCCCACCATGAGATCTTCCTACCGACAAAGCGAAATCCAGGGATCTGGATACATCAGGGTCAACTTCATCGTTTCCCCGCTTTGTCATAATGAGACATCCTCATAAAATTCTTCACCCTACCCACCCACCACTTGATCCTAATGGCATTGTCGTTGATTCACATCAACTTCACGTTCACTGCAACAAGGCTGCATGAACAAGTTCAATTCGCTTCTTGTGCGCGCCATCAGAGTTTCCACGGACTGAAGCACAATAGAAAATGTATAGACAGATATATTGAATGGTTGAGGAGACGATCAGATCCCATGTCTGATCTCAATATGTCTCAGGGTCCTGTTTTGGCAGCCGATGGCAGGTGCGACGCTTGAGTGGCAAGCAGAAGCCACCGCCAGGCCTGGGTGAAGCTGATGAACCCATCCAGCAGAGGTTTCCAGACTTTCCAGCAAACAGAGAGAAACGAGTTTCGTTTGATCTTCCAAAGAATCAACCCATACCAGAAAGTCTCCCAGTTGAAGGGGGTCAACATCTCGATGAGAATCCACATGATGTTCCATATTCGCACAACCTTGCACCCAGTTCTCCAAAGGCGGTGGACGAGCCAGAAGTCATCCATGACATGGAAGTAGACGACTCTGCTGACGGAATGGTAGATCTAAGTGAATTTGCAGCTGCTGGAGGCGAACCTACAGCCACGGAAGCTATGGAGTTAGATTTGGTAACAGCCTTGGATAACTTTGAGCTTTCGTGCGTCACATTGGCATGTTGCAATCGGTTTATCAGATCCGTGGAGTGAAACCCAAGAGCAGCAAGGCAAACCTTTGTGGGGAAGAAATCTTACTTTTGTTTCCTGGATATGTCATCAGTGACGCCAATGGCCAATATCTCGACAAAGACCTTGCGTATGCAGGGATGCACACTGAAATCGATTCATGACCAGTCAGAAGGTTGGCAGACCAATCCATGAGCAGGAAGCCCAGCGTCTTGCCAAGCAATGGCAGATTAGTATAATCACTTGCCGATGGGTTTGTGTTGAGAAAGATCCCTTGAATGTTCGCATGCGACTAGTTGCACGGGAAATGGCAAAAGGAAAGAGTTCTGCCCGTGACCTCATGGTTTCTTCGCCTACTTCCAGCATTGAATCTTTGAGAATTCTCATTGCAGAAGCAGCAGTCCTGGACCTGGTGATTCTAGGCCTGGACATCAGTGCTGCATTCATGGCTTCTCCTCTAGGCCGGCGTCTTGGCAAACCCATCAAAGTCATTCTGAAGATGCCACCAAATACTATGCAGTTTCCAGATGGTAGCCCGATATTCCTCGAAGCATTCAAGGCCATAAATGGCTTGAGAACAAGCGGTTTGGCTTGGGTAGAGCACTTAAGCCAATTGCTGCAAGAGTTAGGAATCAAACCGTCTTTGATTGAAACAACTGTTTTTTTCTGGAGAGGTTTCAGTCAAAGGGCATGGAAAATGTTTTGGGGCTCTGGTTAGCTTTATTTAGGGGGCGTTAAATCGTAGGTCAACATGAAAACTTAAATGAATATATCAACGCAGATTGGCATATAGGAAAGTGAATATTTGTCACTTCCAAACAGGCGATATGCAAATTTACAGTCAAATTTGTCAAAAAGGAAAACAGCAAATGTTGTTTTTCACTCTCCAAGCGCTCAAAACGCATATAGTGATAGTGCAATCATTATCAGAAATTTGAATAAACCTTAAGCTCAGGAATGGCAAAATCTGACAATGTTTGCGGGTTGAATGTCCGGGCAAGGTCCTGCACATACCACCGGGAAAACCACTTGCTCAATATGCGTTTCAACTTAGAATCATCGAAAATTAAGCGCAAAAACCTTCCATTTTGAGCTTTCATGTAATCAAAACGCTTATTGAGGGTCCACCCTCAGAATATTCGCTAAAATTAGGGTTCACGAAATTCCTTAATTCAAACAATAAAAAATATAGTGTAACCATTTCCGTGCATGGTAGCGGAGCGCAGAAAAATAAAGGAAACATGACGGCGCAAAAATAATTAGTGATGCAGTGACATTGGAAGAGTGGTTAAGCACTGGCCTCATCATCTTGCGACGATGCCGATGACAATAGTTAATAAGTGTTAAGTTGTTTCTCGAATTGAAAACATGATGATTGGTCATTGGGTTCGTGCAAGTTGTTTTTGCAACTTGATCTGAACTTGAACTTGCAATGGACATTGCAAGTCGACGACCTGTTGCTGAAAGGGCTTACAAAATGATATCGCTAGTGTCACTGTGAAAATCTATGTACTCGTTGGATCATAAGAATGTTATGTATTTGCAAGTGAGATTGTCAATGAAGAATCAGAAGTGTGCAACATGGCAGGAACACACTGACGCTGACATCAAAATCTTCCAGCGGCTGTCCAAGCATTGACCAATAGTCTTGATAAACATGCGGACAGCCGTTTGCACTGGTCGTTGTCAGGTTATGATTGTCACTGCGCTCGAATGACAGACACTCTATTACCTCAGCAGTCAGTATGCGGTACTTCGCAACCTTGGTTGCGAGCTGAAAACACCAACGAAAACACAAATCCGAACAACTGAGACTGGCAGCTGATATTGCTGGAAACTGTCAATGCTTGTCATATTGTGAATGAATCAATATAATATAAAATAAGAGACACATATATATATATATATATACGAAATAATATCCGCAGTTGATCTACCACCGCATCAAAGCATGCATTGTTTATCCTCTTCCCGCGTCGCAGCAAGTCTTCATCTGCATCTGCATCACCCATTTCCTCGCACCTTCAGGATTGTTTCCATCGTCAGGATCATCATTGATCAATCTTGCCAGCCGTCTCCTGAAGAATCGACCTTTAGTAGGCCATTCGCCATCTTGTTTGACACGCATGGACCATGTGGGTTCATCTCTTGTTCCTGGATTGGGCACCAGCTTGATTTGTCCACAGATTGTGTTGCAGTGCGGGCAACTGATGTCAGTCCGTTGAACAACTTCCTGGAACGGACCAGCACGAGGAGCGCGGGCAGGCTCCTGATTTGCGTCAGCACGTTCAGGCCTCGGAGGTGCCTCAGAAACTACAGCATCTGGAGCAGCGTCTTCAGGAGCTGCATGACGGACCGCTTGTTGCCGCAGCTCTTCAAGCGTCATGTCATCATCCATGTCACCTGGATCGTTGCGGGGTTCAACTGGTCCAGGTTCAGGTTCGACAGCTCCTGCTTCGGCAGAATCCACATCAGCAGGAGCAGAAGGTTCAGCAGGCCGCTCCGAAGCAGCCGCCACTGGCTCAGCTGGACCATCCAACAGGGCGGGCGCTACCTGGCGATCCTCTTGTTGCTGAAGTTCAGCCTCAGACCTCTTGCGTTTTCTACCACATCGTCTCGGCACAGCTTTCGGTTTAGGCTTGGCCTTTCTCTTGGCTTTTGCTTTTGGCTTCTTTTTGGCCGTTTGCTCTCTCCACTTCTGATCCACGAGGCTCCAACCACATTTTCTCTTGGTGTCGACTTCATCTGCAACTTCTTTGAAGTCTTGCTGCTCCTCCAATGGCATTTCAGACAGGATGAATTCGTCCAACGCATCTCCAATGGCCAATGACTGTGCTCTTCTCCGGTTTGGCAAGAGATTCCCTCACCTTGCAAAGCCAGTCCTGGTCATCAGCACCTACCTTGTCCAAAATGAGTAGGTGATCACGCTTCATCTTCGTTGGGTTAAACTGCTCGCTGTCCAACATCAGCACTTCAGACAGCACAGTCATGTCAGCAATTGTCAAAGAATTTCGACAAGAGGCTTCCCCAAAGAAGAAGCGCAGTAAGGGAACGTCGGATGTGACTTCCATGTAGATCTTCTCCTGGTGCAGCACAGCTGTATGAGGAAGCACAAACCATTCCTGCGGGTCCAAGATGTGCACCCACTCAACTTCTCCTTTGGGGTCCAAATAGTATCCTTCAAAATCGCCATCCTTGTGAATGCTCAGCGGCCAAAACAATGCACTCCAAACTCCATGGCCGAGGCAAAAGCCCACATATTCAGCATGCCTGAAATCCTCTTCCCCCTCCAACCTGCACATAATGGTGCGTTCCGTTGCAAACTTGCTGAGACATCCATGTGATATGCTAACGCCTCTATTGCCCATGTTGTCCTCCATGTACCGACGCAAGAAAGCCAAGGGCCCCTTGATGCAAAGTCTCTTCGCTGATTGTTGCCCAGTTCTTCCTGGACATTAACTCTGACCATGCCTTCGGAAGCTTGTGGAAGCGAGCCATGTAGCGCCTCTCCGAATGCGCAAGCAAAAAACTTGACAACACCACTGACTGAGTTCAAAAGGATGTCCTGAATTCATGTTGGTGTCGTAAACTTCAAGTGCACTAAAAGCTTTGCATATCTATATATATATATTATATTATATATATGTAATATATATCATATTTGTATATTGTCTGTGACTGTCTGTGACAACTACATTCATGTGAATGTGTGGTGAAAAGAAGTATGGCAGTGGAGCAAGACTCCAGGCCTCTTCCGTTTGCGATCTTTGGTTCTGGGAAAGCGTCTCAAAAACTCTTCTCTTGTGACAAACGCTTTGTGTTTGATGTCCCTGGTCTGTAGCACTGATGAGCTTGTCACCAGCTCTTGCAAGGCCTGCAGAGTTTGCCGTTTGTTCGAGCCCTTCTTAGCATTTTTCCTCAGGATGCCGTGGCAGTCTTCCACGATTTTGGAATCAGGAAGTGTTTGTCCACGGAGGAGATGCAAGCCACCATGGCTGCCATGGTGGCGTTTGTCCTCCTCAAATGCCAACCAGAGTACACGAATGGTAGCTGTGCAAACAACATTCAAATTGCTCAGGATCTTCGGTGTAGACCCACTCTGGGCAGCAATTGCTTCCAGCTTAAGCAGGTTGCGATGGTCAGCAGCTAGCTGTTTTGCCGAAGCCTGCCAGGTTGCTGTGGTCAAATATCATCCATTCCGTAATCTTGTAGCCACGAGCTACAAATTCAAACACACGCAAGCTGATATTGTTTTCCCGAAGCCTTGACAACATGGCAAATGCCATTTCCTCTCAAATGGAGGTGGACGGAGCTCCACAAATCATCCATGAACTTCCAGAAAAAGTGCATTTCAGCCGTGAAAAGAACATCATGCGAATCAGCATTCCTGGATCAAGCAGGTGCGCAAATCAAAACTTGATTTTGGCACATACCAAACACCATTATGCCCACGGCCACAACAAGACATGGGATTGGTATAGTTCCACGTCCTGCATCATGGCCTTGTGGCCGGATGCCATCGACAAGTCCAGTGTAGGATCCTTCTTGTTGTCGAGGCTGAGAAGGACCACTGTCAGTCTATTCTTCGCCGCCTCCAACTGCAGAGCGTCACCAAGTGGATTGCTGTTCTTTCTGAACTCCTCGAAGCTCTTCGAATTCTTGAGGGCCGTGTGCACCCTCATTGGCCTCATGATGCCCTCGTGGAATGTTGCCTCCCTTTCAACGGGATGACCAATTACCAAGGTGGCTGATGGCTCGGCGGGTCCCTCAGCGGGGGGGAAAAGGCACATCGCCCTCGTTCGTCCCCATAATCCACTGAAGGAGGGCTCGACATCTCAGCCCTGTGATCAGCCATGACTACCACGGCCTCACCCTTGAAAATTGCATCATGGCATGAAATGACATGAAGTGAAATAAAACCTGCGAAAGAATCAAAACAAGCAAACATCACCCAACACACGACCGACACCCGAACCCAGTCCTGTCCTTTTACATCAAAATGAAACAGTTACTTAGGGCAGTCGGCGTCCTTGTGCGCAGGGGACAGGCACTTGCGGAACTTGTGTGCCCTCTTCACAACGGTTTGAGAGTCCGATCCGGGCGGCAAGCTGCCACAAACTCCTGTACCTGACGACCATGAGAAGCAGATTGGAGTGCATGCTTGGTCCTTCGATTTCATCTTTCCTTTCCCTCCAGAATCTTTGCCTCCCGTAGAGCCAGATTGATGTGGAGCTTTCTGACCCCCCTGTCTGAACGATCTCAACTCTTCCATGTCGGCCTGGACGCATCGTTTTCTGGCCTGCTTTCGGTCCCTGTTGGATTGTCTCTTGCGGGTGTCACCTGCGTCATGTTCAGGTGGAAGTGTGTCTTGTACCCCTGGTACATGTGCCTTTACCGCAGCTGCTGTCGCCACCACTGGCTGTCCTCGAGCTCCAGCAGCCACCCATGCCGACGCCGGGATGTGTACCTTCTCCGCCCAGTATGCATCACCCTTAGTCAAGTGGATGAACGGGCAACTCCATGGGAATTGAGGATCCCAATCTCGAGGAACTTGACGTCAGCAACTTTGCCATCCGTTCAGCACGCGCCGCATCATTGGCACCGTACACCAAACCCCTTGCCGTTGACCATTGCATCACCAGCTTCTCGACATGCTTTGCATAGATCTCTAACGACGCCAACGATGCAACGTTGAGCATGATGAAGGATGTCTTCAGCACTCCAGGCAGCTAACCAACCTTGATACGTTGGGGGACCTGGCAAGTCCCTCTGCAAGTATGTGCCGTCCCCCAAGGGGGTGTAGATGCGACATTTTTGGATTTTCGTCAGCTTGCGTTCATACGGTCCGAGGACCGCAAAGTCTACATAAGGTGGAGCGTCATCTCGAAAGACCCGTTTTGCCAATGCTACCAATTGATTTGGAGATGGCTCCCCAACTTCTTCAGGCATGGCTTCCGTCACCGCATGGTAATTCTGGAGCCATTGGTTGACTCCGTTTGGAGTCGGTGGCAACAACTCCGAATCATCACTCTGGTCAATCAGAGTGGACATCTTGAGGATCTTTTCATTCTTTTCCTTGACGCTCGATGTCATGGAAGTTTGCCTCGCGCTATCTGCTGGAGCTGGCTCATGCCAAGGGCCCATGTCCTAGAACTCTGCCTCTAACATGCCACTGCTGAAAGCCACCACACGTTTTGCTGGGCGCACACCAGTCCAATCTGAGTTGCTTGAACTGGCGTAAAGCCTGTACCGTCTGGGAACTGTGCCTGGGCACATCCAGCTAGTAGCCCCGTTCGGGGAAAAGCCGATAGCAACCTGACATCATTGCGAAAGTCTCCCACGGTAGCCGCGAACGCTGTCCAATGGGCATCTGTCACATTGAAATGGCCCCTAAGATCAGCAATGACCTGAAAGGTGTTCAAATCAGCCCACCGACCAAACAATGACATGGCAACTCGCGCCGAAAACCCACAGCCCAGAAGGGGCTGAAACCAGCTGATGGTATTTGAACCCATCGCTGCAGGTTTGTCCCACCCTCCAACCCAAACATATTCATTCATTCATTCATTCATTCAATCATTCATTCATTCATTCATTCATTCATTTCATTTCATTTCATTTCATTTCATTCATTCATTCATTCATTCATTTCATTTCATTTCATTTCATTTCATTTCATTCATTTCATTTCATTTCATTATTTCATTCATTCATTCATTCATTCATTTCATTCATTCATTCATTCATTTCATTCATTCATTCATTCATTCATTCATTTCATTCATTCATTTCATTCATTCATTCATTTCATTCATTCATTCATTCATTCATTCATTCATTCATTCATTCATTCATTTCATTCATTCATTTCATTCATTCATTCATTCATTCATTCAATTCATTCATTCATTCATTCATTCATTCATTCCATTCATTTCATTCATTCATTCATTCATTCATTTCATTCATTCATTCATTCATTCATTCATTCATTCATTCATTTCATT